TTCTTCCTCCCACTCCCTCCCTTCTTTTCTCTCCTTTCTTCCTTCTTTCACCTTCCCTGTTCTCCTTCCTTCCTCCCTTCCACTCCCTTTCTCCCTTTTCTCTCCTTCCTTCTTTCCTTTCTTCCTTCCCTGTTCTCCTTCCTTCCCCCTTCTTTCTTTCTTTCCTTCTTTTATTTTTTATTTTATTTATTTGATGATAGGTGTAAGTATAAGTATAAACATGAGTAAAAATACAGGAAATAGGTATGGATAAATGGGGATAATAGGACAGGGATGGTAGGCACGATGGTGCACTTATGCACGCCCCTTACAGACCTCTTAGGAATGGGGTGAGGTCAATAGTGGATAGTTTAAGGTTAAAGATTTGGGGGTTTGAGGATGTAACTACAGAGTCAGGTAGTGCATTCCAGGCATTGACCACTCTGTTGCTGAAGTCGTACTTTCTGCAATCAAGTTTGGAATGGTTAACATTGAGTTTGTATCTGGCGCGTGCTCTTGTATTGTTGCGGTTGAAGCTGAAGTACTCATTGACTGGTAGGACATTGTAGCAGATAATTTTGTGTCCTACGCTTAAGTCCAACCATAGGCCGCATAGTTCAAGGTTGTCCAAGCCCAAAATTTCAAGCCTGGTGATGTAGGATATTCTGTTGTGAGCAGAGGTGGAATTAAACCTGGTGGCTTCTTTCCTGGAACTCGATGGATTTGAATTTCTGCCGAAAAGAAGTAAGAAGAAAGGGCCTTTCTTTGGTTTCTTCCATAAAGACAACGTAACCCGAGAAATACTTTTGCTAAACATACATTCTACACGGGGGACCTCGTAGGTCAGACCTATTCCTTTTAAAATGGAATGAGTGTGACTATAAATGGCCCTCAGAGAACTTTAAAATGCAAAGAGCTTGAAACGCACACATTTCCAAGTTAAAAGTTTCTCCGCTGCAAAGGGCAGGGAAGCTGACAAGCAAACAAATGGGACAGCCCAGGTCGTGACTCTGCTCCCGTCAGAATCTGACCTCTGTCCATCGCCGTCTCTCCTGTGAGTTCCTGATAGAACAGAATAGTTTCGCAGTTATCAGAAGCAATTGGCAGCCCGTAGAAAGAAAGAAAAAGGAGACCGTGAAAAGCTGCAGTGCTATAAGGAATTGATTTGAGTAATATGCCTCTTTTTAGATTGCAAAAGACTTCTGCAGAGAGAGGGGGGGAGGGAGGGAGGGAGGGAGGGAGAGAGAAGCAAATCTGGTATGAATTTATTTCTGCTAAATGGCCATAAGAACATTTCTCAAACTTGGCAACCTTAGGAGGTGCAAACTTCCCATCCCAGAATTCTGGGAATAGGTGGGCCATATATGCTGCCTGCACTGGTGGGATTCAAATAATTTAAACAACTGGTTCTCTGCCCTAATGATTTCTTCCAACAACCAGTTCGCCAAACTGCTCAGAAAGTTAACAACCGGTTCTCCCAAACTGTTGCGAACTGGCTGAATCCCATCACTGGCTGCCTGGGGAATTCTGGGAGCTGAAGTCCCATGCATTGGAGAAAGTCAGAATCCCTTGGTGATTGGCCCAATGTCATCCAACCAGCTTTCATGCCTGCTTCGGGACTAGAACTCACTGTCTCCTGGTTTTCAGCCTGGTGCTTTAACCACTAGACCAAACTGGCTTCCCTCATGTTTATCTGTGCGGAGACCATCCACTTTAGCATCCTTGGCAATGCTGTTCTTCCTTCTCTCTCTGTCTCCCTCTCCCCCCTCTCTCTTTCCATCTCCCTCTTTCTCTCCCCTCTCTCTGTCCCTTCCTCCCTCTCTCTTTCCCTCTGTCCCTCCCTCTTTCTCCACCCTTCCCCCTCTATCTTCCTCCCACTCTCCCCATCTCACTCTCTCTTTCCCTCCCTCTTTCTCCCTCCCCTCTCTCCCTCCCTTCCTTCCCCCTCTGCCTTTCCCCTTTCTCCATCTACCTCTTTCCCTTCCTCTCTCTTTCCCTCCCTCTCCCCTTTCCCCCCTTCCCTCTCTCTTTCCCTCCTTTCTCCTTCCCCTCTCTGTCCGTTCCTCTGCCACCGTCTCTCTTTCCTTCTGTCCCTCCCTCTTTCTCCACCCTTCCCCCTCTCTTCCTCCCTCTCTCCCTCCATCTCTCCATCTCCCTCTCTCTTTCCCTCCCTCCCTCTCCTTCCTCCCCTATCTCTTTCCCTCCCTCTTTCTCCTTCCCTCCCTTCCCCTTCTCTCTTTCCCTCCCTCCCTCCCACTCTCCATCCTTCCCACTCTCTCTCTGTCTCCCTTCCTCTCTTCCTCCCTCTCCCTCCTGCTCCCTCCCTCTCTCTCTCTCTCCTTGTTCTTCTGGGATGTAAATCCTCCCCTGGGTTCTGACCCGAGTCTCTCGGATATTCGTGTCCAAGGACCCACATTAAGAGCATCAACCAGGATGTCCTGATATATCCAAGACCTGAATACGAAGCGCCAGGCGTTCTGCGGGGAAGAACTGCGGCCATTAATCTTTCAGCTCTTGCTGATGCAACCAGAGTTTAAATCTGTCAGCGTTTCCATTGCAAGGCCTCATTTTTCAAGAACGTAACAAATCAGCTGGAAAAATTTTCCACTCTGGATTGAAACGTAGCTTGCCAAAGGACCAAGGCTCCCACTGTTCCTGAAAAGACCACGCATCCAATGTCTGGCATAATTCATCAGCGTGCCAAACTCCAGAGGAAGCTAATGGATAATTTGTACAATGATCACGGCGACCTGTGATGATTCAGCTAATTGTAAAGACACAAAACTACCTTCCCAAGTTCCAGTGGTGGGATTCAGGGTTTTTTTTTACTACCAGTTCTGTGGGCGTGGCTTGGTGGGCGTGGCTTGGTGGGTGTAGCAAGGGAAGGTTACTACAAAAAACCCCTTCCCTCCCCACCCCACTAACCTGCTTTCCAGCTCCGTTCTCCTGTGCAGGGCAACCAAAGGAGACCCAGCCAATCAGCTGGGACTCGATGGGAGGCAGAGAAGAGATGGGGTTGGCGGGGCTAGTCAGAGGTGGGATTGGCCGGTTCTTCAAACTACTCAAAATTTCCAATACCGGTTCTCCAAAACTGGTCAGAACCGGCTGAATACCACCTCTTTTCCCAACCTCCCAAAGTTAGAAGCTGTTAAAAACCATAAATCTTCTTTCTTTTATTATTGCATCACCTTCTTCTTCTTCTTCTTCTTCTTCTTCTTCTTCTTCTTCTTCTTCTTCTTCTTCTTCGACTTGGTTTGCATGGGAGTTAGGTTTCCCGCTCCCTACCCTCAATCTTGGATCGTGCTCTTTCCTGGGTGTTCTCTAGGACTATTTTTATTTTAGCATTATTTTGGGAAAATACAAGAAACCAATCCAGCAATTCCTCTGTAGTCAGGCCTTTGGTGATTAGGCCTTAGTGGCCAGCCGTGAACTTGCTTAGAGGACAGAAAACACAGATGTAGAATGTGCTTTCCTTCCGGAGAGGAGAAGATCACATCAGCAACTAATAAAGCAGATTTGATGCCAAACCCAGCCCTGCCTCTGCCTGCCTGCCTTCCTTCCTTCCTTCCTTCCTTCCTTCCTTCCTTCCTTCCTTTCTTTTCTTTCTTCTTCCTTTCTTTCTCTTCCTTCCTTCTTTCCTTCTTCCTTCCTTC